ATGCTTAACACTTAGCCTGGATCAAAACAAGCGTTTAATGAATGTTAGCCATTGTTACTGTATCACATCCTGCAAGAATACTTAGTTCAACTCCTTTCAAAAAACTACATATAGATGCCTGAACTTATTTGATGACTGACTGCCCAGTACTTTACCGAGGGCTTAAATGGTAAATTAGCAAGCCAGGGAGAAGACATGCAAACTTGATACAATGTCCCAAGTCTAGTTCATAATTTAACCTCATCCTTCAGCATCCCTTGCTCAGTGCGTGAAGCAGGCTCTGTGGCACTAATTCCAGATTAAATACGATGTTTGCAGCATAGAAGTTCAGACATCCAGGAGATTTAAAGAATGAAAGCAGAATTAAAACAACCATTCTATTATGAGGCTCTGATAATTTATTCAATAGCAATATTCATTCATCAAATATATGTATTGACTGCCTACAATATACAAAGTCCTGCGCAGGATGCTGGAAAGAAAAGAACGAATAGAACTGGAGCTTCATCCTGAAAGAGTTCACAGCTGAGTGAGAGAAGTGGTTCAAGAATCAGATAACTGTAATGCACTTTAGTCAGCAGTAGCATCCAAGGGTGGAGAAGAGGCTCTTATTCCAGTTTGAGGGCCATGAAGGACTGTCATCTAGAGCATATAATATCACTGTGTGAATTATAACTAAGCTACAATTCAAAATACTATTTTAGCCATTGTTGTCTTATTTTCAGAGGCAGAACTTTCCAGAGTTCATTCAACAACAGCCCGAGCACAGTGCACATTAGCACGAATGAGAGAACGAGACACTCAGACTTAAGGGTTCAGGGAAAGCTGTGGAGATGATGACCCTTGAGATGAGGATGGGACTGGGTTGAGCCTGGGCGTGGGAATGGGAGAAAGAGAAATACTTCTTTATGGAACAGCTCATGTAAAGACATGGCAGTATGAAACAAGCAGATACATTTGAAGACACGATAGTATTTTTTTTAACATGGTTAGAGTTAAAAAGGGGGGAGAAGAGTGTTGAGAGATGAGGCCGGACAGGTTGGTGGAATTAAGATAGAAAGGACTTTACCTGTCTGGCTCTGGAGAGCCACTGAAGCATTTTAATAAAGGGGGGCTACAAACAGATTTAGTTTCTGAAATATGTGCTAAGCAATGTGGAGGGCTGAATCCAGGTATTCGACTTAAAAGAAGATAACTGCATCAGAAGAGCAGCAGAGATGAGAGAGTTGGATGGACAGAGGAGTTAATGACTGAATCGGAAAAGGATGGGAAGGGAAATGTGGGAATCTAGAAAACTCCCAATGTTGAATTTGGGTAACATTAACCAGGATAGAACTTGAAAGGAGGATTAGCCCTTTTAGATTTGGGGAAATGTGGGAGACTCAGAGAGAGAAATGAGTTCAGTCGTAGACACACTCAGTTGGAGGCAGTGCCCAGGAGGCAGCTGTACTGATAAAGTCCAGAATAGGGGCATGATCTGGAAGTTATCAGCATGGACGTGGTGCTTCTGTTAACGAGAGTAAGTAAGATTTCTCCTGAGAGCCATGTAGAGTGGAACGATGAGCAAAGACTGAAATCCAAGTAAAATCAGCATTGAGGGGCAAGGAGAGGAAGAATGGCATCCCGTGCTGTGGAAGCATGGGGACTCAGCGGGGACGCAGGTGCCGGAGGAGGAGGGGTGCCACCGGAGGCACGGGAGTAGTCCCGTCTGACGGGGAGAGGGTCTGCAGAGTCCGGCGCTGCACCGGGCCAGAGGAAGTCTGAAAAGCAGCCACTGTCTCTGACAAGTGACACCTATTGGTGATGTTTGCCAAAGCAGTTGCTATACAAAACTGGGAGTAGAAGCCAGATTCAATTCAAATAAGTAGGTTAAGTTTAATAGGTAGATGAAGAGGTAGAGATGTGGGTAGTAAACTACTCTTTCTGCAGGCCAGGCTCTGAAAGGAATTACACAGGCTGATGATCTGCCTTGATGCCCCAGCAGCCGGCCTCGTGTGGACTTCTTTCCTGATTAACAGGCCTACTGGCCAGGTGTGCATCAACAAGTCCCTGATGTGCAAAGATGCAGCACCCCAGGCTTTGGTGAATGACACTGCCCACGCGTCTTGCTTTTCTGCAAGCCTCTCTCATTCTAGTTTCTTGGCTTCTTTTTGCACACCCTTCTTGGGTCTCAGAGAAGCAAGAAAGGACTTTGATTTAGTATGAAGTCACCTTCAATTCTTCTGCCCTCCACAGCCTCTAGGCTTCAGGCTGTAATTGTTAGCAGAGCTATAATAATTCTAATGCTATTAATTTCATCGGTAGCATTACTTCAGGTTAAAAGTATATACTTTCTCAGGTAAGAGGAAAGCAGAATTTAGGGTGGAGAAACTATAGGAAAGCTAGTATACAATGGACCCCTCATCCTTTAATATTTCTGCATTAAAAAAAGGCTCTTTGTGAGAGAGAGGTAGAGAAAAAGACAGACAGAGAGAGAGAGAGAAAGAGAGAGAATATTCTGCAGATCACTGTAGATTAGTCTCTGGGAACAGTTAAGCTTTTACAAACTTAATGGTGGATGACATCGTATCAACTGTTCATAGCAAAATTCCTTATTAAGTAAATAATTCGGGATTTAGAATTATTGGGGATTTTATTATTATTTTTTCAGTTGTGTTTTTTGTTTCCTTAACATGAACAACTGAAAGAGATTGATTTCTCTAAGTCTTCTCCTTAAAGGATGTGAACTGAATGGTCCCATCCTGCCATCTATGGGTCCAACTCATCAAATGTACACCAACATTTGATCAGTAATTTAGTAACCAGTTAAAGTCATTTTTATAAGTAAAACATGCATATGCTTTGTTTTCTACCTTCTCAAAAGAACAGATGTTCATTATAGGACACATATTAAAAGACTCACAATCTAAAGGGAAATAAGGAAAGATAATTACTTAAGAAGGAAGAAATCTTAGAAATTTATATAAACAAAATGCTTACAGTTTACATAGCTTTGGTTTAATACAGTCTTCTCCTGAGACCTAATAAACGAAAATATTAGGGACAATTCAAACTTTAATATTAACAGAATCTTTTCTTATAGTCCCAAATAGATAACAATAATATTGCTACAATGTATGGTTGCCAAACCACCCTCTAATGTGTTCCCAGAATTGTGGTGTCAAGTAGTTTGCTAGAATACAGGTCCTAGTGACACTGTAGGGACTTCTCTCCTTTGTTTCTTGTGTGTGTGTGTGTGTGCGTGCGTGTGTGCACATATGCATACACATGCATTTATTCAAGTAACAAAGTATTTGCCTTAGAAATATTACGCATAAAATATTCAAAGGACTTACCCAGACTTCGTCTTTTCCCTATATTAGCAACCCTGTGGAGACAATAATGAAGTTCCAATTTTAAATGCTTTATACAATCAAGTGCTATTTGACTTTCTGGAAAATATCCTCTCATGTTAGAGAATATTTCTTCCCAGTCTATTTAATTTGTTGGGCACCTCCAGGATCTTTGAGATTAAAAAAAAAAAAAAAAGTCGGTAGCTGTTATCCAAACAGAAAATGGGAGAGACTACTGGAGAAAGTAAGAATGTGGGTAGCATAATAGTTTTTCCCTGTTTAGATCTGACTGATGCAGGCAAACTTTATTTTTTGACTGATTTGTTGAATATGGAACCAGCTGTGCCCTTGCAAGTAATATTTCAGCTCTCTGCTTGCTTCAAATGTCCCCACATGCCACTCAGCAACTGTATGGGTTCTCTGTTACTTTTGCTTGTTACAATGAACCTTGATTCCATGTGAAAGGTAATACCACAAATTTGAATGATTCATATTTTAGATTGAAATTGATCTCCCTTCCTGCAACTCAGAAGAGATAGGGTTTTCATTTTGGTTGAAAAAGGCAGTAATAAATTTAGATTTGGTGATGATCGAAGACAGCATGCTATGTGAGCCAACTTGCTTTATTCTCACAGCTTTATGATGTTAATGGAAACTCTTTCCTGGACATGCTAGTAATAAATATTTGACACATGTTAGGTTTGTAGGTACAGGGAGATTTTGATGTCGCTAAATCAGCCTATCAAGCAGCACTCTACTGAGCTAAAATACACATACACAGTCTTAATCATCACACAAATAATGGATGGATACAAATTTGCTGAAATGGAGTGTGAGTGAAGCAAGAGGAGTTCTTTGCTCCCTAACCTTCCACCTAGATCCTGTGTGTATTCTCAAGAAGCTAGACACAAAATGGTCATTCAGTGCTGTACTTGAGAAGTGATATCCAACAGCTTGAAGATTTCTAGGACATTTGGTCCTGGATAAAACATCCACAAAACAATTGGTCTACACTAAAAGGTCCTTGAAATTTGGTCCTACTCAGAACATCCATGAGTGTATATGGTCTATACCAAATGGTTTTGAACAGGACCGAAGAGCAAAGATTTGTTGGCATGGGCCAATGTCTTACGGACATTTTGGACAAGACCGAGTGTCTGTTGACTACTTGAAGCAGTTAGAATAACTGTGGAAACCTGTGGTGCTCCATTTCACCAAACTGCCTCTGGTGAGAACCAAATATGGATGCTTTAGTTATCTGTGTCGAATGACAGAACTTAGAGCTGGAGTAGGTCTCAGAAACAAACGAGTCAAAAATTTTTCCAAACTTTTTTGAGCCGTAGATTCTCTTCTTTCCCCGAATAAAACCTTATGCAAACCGTTAATATACAACAAAGATAAAATTGGAGTTCACTTAGTTGATTTGAGCGTAAATCTGGAAAATCCTTTCTTTTTCCTCCATGTCACATTGCACAGTGACCTGGAGGCCTGTCAAAAAGCCGTAGAGTTCCAGAAAATTAGGTTTGAAAACTTCCAGTCTAGATCCATCCTTTTGCTTTGTAGGTGAGAGAACGGAGGCCCCGAGAAGGTGATTGATAACCTGAAGTCATGTGTTGTCACAGCAGATGTACAGCCAGAACTTACTGAGGTTTTCCTACTCTTGTTCCAGTGCTCTTCCCACTCTCCACGCCAGCCTCTAAAAGCTTTGGAATCACACAGATCTGAGTTGAATCCACAGTCCTACAATGCAAGATGTTAGACAGTTCTCTCAAACTGAATCTTTAAGCCTCAGTTGTCTCGCCTATAAAATAAGGAAAACAGATTATTTTCATAGGGTTGTTGTGATGATTAATTGAGATAGGATATGTAAAATAGTGTACATAGTACCCAATCCAAAGGAGATGCGCATCCAATGCTGGTTTGCTTTTCTTTCCTCTCTGTTACGTATAACCAAAACATTGAAGGACAAACCCATAAAGGCTCAGATCTACATCATCTCTATAACTCTGTAACTTGATCTCACTGAATATCCAAGATCAGCACTAGTGTTTTGATTCACTTATTAATGCACTTGTGTACATTGCTATGATAATTGCCTTTTTATTAGAATTATTAATTAAATCAGCCATGCACGTAAGCATTCGCTTGCAATGATGAAAAAAAAGTGGTCAGGATGATAGAGAGGGCTGTACAAGATTAATTGCTCTGCTGATGTGTTTCTCTCAGGTTAAGAGGCAGCTTGACAGCTGCATCCTCCAGCTACGGAAATGGCATATACATCCCTATAGCCGACAAAGGGTCAGTAAACGCCTGAAGAAGAAGGGAGCTTTGGTATTTGCTGTTGATCAGCCTTGAAATGTAGCAAGCTTGTGGAAATTAGGTACCAAAAAAGTCAAAAGGAGTTTCAGATTTAACCGCAAAATTTTATTAGGTGCTCTAGCCTGAGTCAGACAATTTAGGGTCTGGCCCTTACTTGGAGAGATCCTTAGGCAAAAGCACTTCACTCTCTGGCCTCAGTTTCCTCCTCTATAAAATGAGAAGAATAGAATAATCTCCAAGTTTCCTTTTGGCGATAATGCTTTGTAAGATTCTAAGAAATCTATATATGTTTTTAAAAAGTAGTATTTATGTATGGATTGCTATTAAGAACGGTTATACTTACTCCTTAACAAAGTAGAAATGCTGTCAATATTTTTCCCTTCTGTACAGTTTTCGTCATTGAACTCGAAATTATTTTTTATTGACAGAAAAAATTGTCTTTTAATGGGTTTTGCTCTTTGGTGAGTTTCCATAAAGTTTAGCTAATGGCACTGCTGGCCTAATCATTTTGTCATCTCTACAAAGAATTCTACTCTCCAGGGAAATTTCCTTTATGTTCACAGTTTCAATTATGTTGGCCAATAACCTATGAAAAGGCACTAGAATAGACCTCCCTGCTCGCTCTTTTATTTCACAAAGCTCTAACCCAATAACTTAGGCCAAAATGTGACCCTGTTTCTATGGGATTTGTTGCTATTAAGACTTCGTAAAATCGAAAACATGCCAACGTTTCCAGCCTAAATAAAACACAGTAGCAGCCTCTGCCTTCAGTGTGCCTTTCCTAGTCTTTTCTCTGCAGAGCATACTGGACGTCCTGGGAGAGAGTCCCCACCCCATATTTCTAGGAAGTCCCTAAGAACATTTACCCGGCGCGCGCTGTTTTCCGTGACCTGTAACTGGATGGGAAGCGTGGTCCAGTGCTTTGAGCTGCTCTGCCACCTCCACGTCTGCACTGTGATTCCCTTTTCTGAAAAATGTAGATGTGGCCCCTAATATAAGATCCAGGGATACGTGTGGAGAAAATGAAAATTATGAAGTGCCGAATGCCATTATTATTTAACCTACCATTTCTCCTCGGGCAATGTGAAGCATAATTAACAGAGCACTCACCAAAAGGAAAAGGAAAGTGAAACTGGCTTTTTTTCCTTCTGTTTTGATGTTCCAGATAAAGGATAAAAGAGGAAGAATTAATTATGAAAGTGATGATATTTCAGTGGGCCACACTTTCTCTAAAGCGCTATAAATTCCATTTTAGTGGCCATGAAACTGCTGGGGAAGGGACTGAAAATCTCATGTCCTCATTGAATGTGTCTATTCAGCATGGGCTGGATCTCCTTACTTATAAATACAATTCAGTTGGGATTTCTCTCCAGAGACACAAATTAGGTATCTGCCCAGTGTTTTTTTAAGTAAGATTTGAATAAATCAAGCAAGACTTGCTGGTGTGGAAATGTCATTTCACCTATGGCATGGCCAGAAATTTTTAGTAGGCAGGATTTTTCCCATTTCATTCTTTTTTTTCTTTTTTTTAAACAAGCTTTCTCTTTCAACAGTTTTAAAGCAAAGAAGTAACTTGAGTTACCCAGCTCTAAAATGTGGTACTAGATAAATGCATGCTCTTTAATTTCCTCTCTTTGATTTTTAAAAATCAATCCAATTAGTGCATATGTGGAACAGCCTAATTAGTGAGGCAGATCATAATGCTTGTCAAAGAACCATTAGAGTCACCACTCAGTCCACTTAGATGGAGTCACAAGTTTTCCAAAATACTTCGTAAGACAGAATGCAGCAACATATTTTCCTAAAACTGGCTGGATAATAGCCTATGTTTTAAGAATGACAGGTCATACCTATAGGAAAATATTTTCTAAAAAAACAAAAAACAACTTAACTTCTTCAGAGCACCATAGTTTATGGTATGATAACATGCTTATCCACATGTACGTAAGATCTACAATCAAACTATTTAACTCAGTAAACACATTATAAGACTTACGTAAGCTATGGATGCACAACTTCTCTGCAGGCGTGGCTCTGCCGGAGTCTGTATCTGACATCTTTTCTTACACCCATTTTGCTTCCTACTTCAAACCACCTGTGTTTCCCCAGCATCCTTCCTGCCAGCAGCACCTGAAAGAATGTCTCATGTGCCCAAATATTCTTAGACTGTCACATATCATTATCATAATAATCTTCCATCTATTGTTTACTTTTCTTTGTTAGCATACATTCTGATTTCTTTCTCTCTATTATTCTTATATAAATTCTTTTAAAAGATTAAAAAAAATTCACTACTGCTTCACATATTATTAATGACTGGCTCTCATCTGATGTTTGCTTGTTGCTTTCTGGACCATTCTTTTTCTGTCTCTCTCTCTTCTTTTCTCTCATTTTCCCTCCACTCCAGAACAGATAGGTAGATGCTTCTGTAACCGGGAGTACAGGTTCAAGATAGGACCAAACAGCTTCTGAATAGGCAAGCTCAAAATTGCTTTTGAAAGCATCATCACTGAAAACTCCACACTGATTTAAGCCGCAGCCTCGGGGCCAACCTTTGACCAGGGCAGCATCCACACTTGCATCGATTCCGCCTGCAATCGAATTACTCAGGCAATTCTGTGCACTTTCAGCTCGAGCCCTGGAGTGCAAATGGCCAATTTTGGAGGCAACTTGGTTGTGCTTGAAATTTGCAGGAAGATTTTCTTATATGTTCCTGGGAAAAGGCAGGGTTTCTTTTTAAAAATAATCTTAGTCACAGAATGGATATTTTATTTGTGTTTACGTTCGTTTTGGTTTGAGAAAACTTTGCTTCTCCTGAAGAATCTCTGCTGACTATGAAATGATGACTTTGTGTACTAAACTCATCAGAGTGTGTAGTAGAACTTAGGGGAAATGAAAACTAATGAAGAAAATATAATGCAATATGATATTCTGCTGTTAGATAAAAGGAAATGTCACGTTGTGTTTTATAATTTAGAAGCAAAAATTTAAAAAAAATTGTGATGATGGAACAAAAGAAGCTTCCTTATAGAATTATACTCTGTGACAACACCTTCCACTCCTCCTCTGTGAAATATTTTATAAGATTAGAACCAAGAAACATTACACATGCCTTTCTAGAGCATAACAGACTTATGTATTTATTTTTCATGTTTACCTCCTTATAGTGTAACTAATTATATATCATCTACCCTCCTCATAAAACTCCTCTTAGTTTGATGTAAACTTTACTGTCTTTGTGTGTTTATTTATATTTTTTATAATTATACTATAGATTCAATTGTATACCTTATAAGAACTTCCCCATGTTTCTTTTCAGGCTTACTAAATAATATCTTGGTGGCTTCACTATTTGTATATTTAGTGGTGTGTTGGTAAATCTCTAACTGGAATGAATGTTTATCACAAAATTTACAAATAATAATAAACTGTAGAAGACACTTTGATGTAAATTCCATATAACCAATTTCTTCTCATAGAATGCTTTCACTGATGTTTGCTGCTATCATGTATCTATAGCCAACCTATGGTTGCAGTTCAACCATGATTCGACAAATGGAATTGTATCCCAGCTCTGAGTATTTTTCTGACATGAAGATGGGCTGGTGTTTGTATTTATGATAGCAAGTAAGATGAAAGTAACTTCTTTGCTAAAACAGAGAATCACACTGGAAATCCTGAAAGAAAATTATCTTAATTTTTTATGCTATTCACAACGTAATGCCTACAGACACAATATATTTTTATGTTTAATCTCATTAACATTTCTCCATCATTTTCTGAAGTCGAGATGGGCCAACAGCCACAAAAAGTAAACCAGCCCCTAATTTGGAACGTTTTCCATTTTCCAGGGTGCAAATACTCCCATTATGGCAGGTTTCAAGCTACCAAATGACATTACTGAATAGAGCTGGGAAGAGGCACACAGCATTGCACCATTCTATTTCATTTCCACAGCAGAGACATAGTGTTAAAAAGCTGAATATCACAGACAATAGTAAAAATCGAGTAAAGTGATTTTGAAATGATGAGTTTTGAATAGTTATTACATCTGTTTTTAATTTAATTTGAAGATTATATAATTTAATCTCAACAATGGCCATGTTTAATAACTGCCTGCAAAATTCCTTCAAATTTAACAATTGATTCGCATGACCTGGTACGAGTCAGTTTCATCATGCTACTAGCCACTCAAGTGGATATAAAGGAAAATTTGGCTTCTCTATATACAGATGGCATGATTCTAGGCAAATTACATAAACTCTCTTCTCTTCAGTTTATCCCTATAAAATGGAGCTAGTCAGGCTTTGCTCACATGGAGGTGAAGTACTGTCAGCCCTCCATGCCAGTGGGTTCCACAT